AAGGGGAAGGGGAAGGGGAAAGGGAAAGGAATGGGAAGGGAATGGGAAGGAGAAGGGGAAGGGGAAGGGGAAGGGGAAGAGGAAGGGGAAAGGGAATGGGAAGGAAAAAGGGAATGGAAATAGGAAGGGGAATGGGAAGGGGAAGGGAAAGGGGAAGGAGGGGAATGGGAAGGGGAAAGGGAATGGGAAGGGAAAAGGGAAAGGGAAGGGGAAGGGGAATGGGAATGAGAAGGGGAAGGTGAATGGGAAGGGAAAAGGGAATGGAAATAAGAAGGGGAAGGGAAAATGGAAAGGAAAAGGGAAAGGGAATGGGAAGAGGAATGGGAAGGGAGCACCCCTGACGGCAGGAGGAGCTGGGCCGGGGGGTGGGGAGGGCCTGGCTCTGGGAAGTCTCTTGAGCAATTTGGCCCTGGAGCAGGAATGAGGAAGACTATGGAGGGTGGGTGTTGGGTTTTTGTTTGACAACCCCCGCGTCCCTTTTCAAACACCCCGGGAGATCCCTAGGGATCTGGCGCCTGGGAAAGAGAGACCCCCCTTCCCTCCGCTCCCCCCCCGTGGGTGCCCTGGGGGGCTGGATCCTGCCCCAAACAGGTCACCCCCAAAAAATATCCCGGGTTTTTCCCTGCTGTGGAGCCGGCGGCTCCTTCCCGGGTGGATTTGGTGAGTTCCTTCCCGTGATCCCATGGCGGGGGATCTCCCTCCCCTGGGAGCTTGGCTTTGCCCAACTGCTGACGTTTCCACACCGAAAAAAAAGTCCTTTTTTTCCCCCACCTAAATTTTGGGGTTAAACCTTCAAGGGGTCCCAGGACCACTGTTTTTTTGTGGAAAACTGGAAATTCCAACCACTTCCTGACCTCCGAGGCACCCGGCTGGAATCTGTCCCCCTTCCACCTTTTCCTCTTTTCCCTTAAATCCCAATCTTGAGGGTTTTTTGGGGAAATTTCACCCATTTATGACTCCGAAGCCACCCAAGCAGCGGCTGCTGCTCCGGGGGAAAGTTGGGATTCCGGGCGTTGGGAATTCCGTGTGGCTCCCAGACACCCGGAGGAACCCGATGAGCTTGAAAGTGAAGCTGGGTTTAAGGAAAAAATATCTTTATTTCATGCCAAGCTGGGTTTAAAGCAAAAAATGTATTTAATGCAAAGCTGGGTTTAAAGAAAAAAATTTGATTTAATGTAAAGCTGGGTTCAAGGAAAAGTTGTGTTTCATGTAAAGCTGGGTTTAAAGAAGCACCACACTTAATGCAAAACTGGGTTTAAAGAAAATGCATATTTCATGCAAAGCTGGGTTTAAAGAAAATATGTATTTAATGGAAAGCTGGGCTTAGAGAAAATACATATTTAATGAAAAGCTGGGTTTAAAGCACGACCAGATTTAATGTAAAACTGGGTTTAAAGCAAAGCTTTAATAGTCGGTGGCTCACACCAGTCTGAGATTGAGCCCGGGGTGGGGGGGGGAAGATGTGTTTGGGGGGATTTGGGGGGGCTCGAGGTCCCTGTCCCTGGGAAATGTCCCACAGCCATCCCTGGGAAGGGGGGAAATTCTATTTCCCAAATTCCCCGTGACTGTAAACTCCGAGGTTTTGGGCTGCAAAGCAAAATCCACGATGGCAAGGGCTGTTTTGCAAACCGTGAGTCGGAGCGGGGG